AAGCACTGCTTCATGCTACCGAAACCGTAGTTAAACACCGGTCTGACGGGCCACTTGGCTCGTAAAAAGACTTTTACCTTAACTTTTTTTATTGAAAAAAAGAAAAAAAAATACAGGATACCACTGGTTTTGCTTCACAGCGCCCTGTGATTGGTCTAAAGACCTTGCATCACCCTCTCAATCAATTCAAGTAGACTGGGTCACTCCGGTTGTTCACGTGACTCAAAAAAAGCTAAGAAAGTTTATATGGTTTGACTTGAGTTCTCAGTGGCTCTTTGTGACATTTCCCTTTGTTTTGATTGGCTTATTTCATTCATTTGGTTTTAGTGTAACGATATCGATGCTGCATCAGGAGGCGCTCTGAACAACGCGATCGCATGAACACCAGAGATATTTATATTATTGGTGTTCCAAATAGTTATAACTATTTGGGTCCATGACCGCTATAGATAATTCTGGTTTCTGCGGCATAGGACGATTATGGTCCACATTCATTGTTAGGACAGAGGGGAATTAGTAAAAATGGAACTGCCTTTCTGCCAGGAAAACCGCGGAATGTATTTGCCCGTGTTCGTAGCAGGACAACTGCGGGTCAAGATTTGGGAAGTAGTTTATTATGGTATTATTAGAACCAAACTCATTTATTTTGGATTTCGCGGCTTTCGCGATCAAAATTGAACGGTTTATGATTGTTTCCGTGGAAACTGTGTGTTTAGCCAAATCCCGACCAAGAAGGAACCAATCAGAACGCTTAGATCTTGCAATATGATAATTAGACATACTTAGTGGTGCAGTAGTTACGTGTTTTAAACTCTGACGGCGTGGGTCAGTTGAAGAATTTAGTGAAATCACAACATACCTGCCTCGAATATCGTTCGTGTCACCCCTTCTGCGCATATACCTTGAAGTATCCTGGCTCCTGGGTACAGAATTGAGAATGAACGAAAGGAAAAATGAATACGTAATTAGGAATGAAGGAACGAGAATAAATGAGACGGATGGAGGAACTGTTGGATTACTCTTTAACTGGTTGATGACGGAAATTAAAGAACGGCTAAACAGACCAGAAAGGCAGACTGACCAATAAGGAAAGGAATGACAAGGACACATCGAAACCAGTCGCTAGACATTTAAATTTACCTAATCATTCTAAGCAACATATGGCAATCTGCGGTCTTTCCTTACACTTAGGTAGCACGGAAAGCCGTAAAAATCTTGAACAAAAGCTCATCTTTCAAACCGGCAGTCTAAATCCCACAGGGATCAACGAACGCTTTTCATTCCACTAATTTATTCTTGTTTTTCTCGTTGCCATGTTCCCACCAATAACGTAGCTCCATTCTCTGCCTTTAAAAGCACACACAACCCACAATTCCTCTATTCGTTCCGACGAAGGGCTAACGCTCGAAACGTGAGCTTTTGTAATCGTTACGGTGGCCAATTTACCACTTCAACTTTGTTCATATATCCAAGTTATGACCAATAAATAGTTAATTAACTGACTGGCTAATCTGTGACTCTCCAGTCTCGCCACTTCATTAACGTTTTAACAAATTACACATCTACCATCGTGGTGCATGGCCACGGAGACATCCTCTACTACTGCGCTTGATTCACTTCTGAGATGGTCAGCGGCTTTTCTCACAAGCCTGTCTACGTCTGGCTCGGAGCTAGGAAGTCCAAACCCTTCTTTTAATATTGCAAGCTTAAGATGCGAAATTTCACCTGATATCTGCATAAAAAAGACCAATGGTATAAGAAAAGCATCGCTGATCATCAAGAGAGGATACTTTCTTGTGATCGTTGATTTGTTAAAGACAACGTCAATATCTTACGTATGAAGTATTGTAGAGAAACTGAATTCCTTGCCACGAAACTTGTAAATCAGTGTCACTTGTTCACTTACCTTCGATGTGTAAGGTTCATCGATGTACAAATCTCGCGGCTGCCTGGGATCAAGGTCTCCGTCAAGCCCAGCAATCACCTCACCGTAAGCAAATGGACCAAAGAAATAGAATTAAGATATCCCTTTTGAAAACTCACTTATTCCTTAGTGCGTTTATGTAAACAAAAAGGAAAAGTCTATACGCTTTCAAAACGCGCTCTCGCAGTGTGAACGTACTTTAACTGTTGTGGGGTGAAGCTAACTAGACTGTTGTTTCTTTCTAAGATTTCCTCCTGGCTCCATCAAAAGAAAAGTATGGGGGATGCAAGTAAATCACCGCACCCTCGACATGAAAATATATTCCCTCTCATAATTTCTTTGCAATGAAATTACGTTAATTTCTACCTCCAACATCAAAGCTGTGTCATAAACTGTCCTAGCCATTGGTCCCACGTGATCCAGTGTAAATTCCGTCTGCATTATCCCAGTGTATGGAACTAAACCGTATGTAGGTTTTAGACCCACTATTCCACATGCAGCGGCAGGCATCCTTATGGAACCCCCTTGATCTCCTCCCAAAGCCATATCCACGTGACCACTAGCGACCTGTCATAAAAAGTACAACTAAGATAGACAATTTTGTTGGTTATTCTTTTATTCGTTAATTTTTTCTGTAAACTTTACCAATGAGTCTCGACTTTGAATATGCAGTACAAAATTTCTGACTCGTTTGAAAAACCAAAAAACAAATATGAACTCTAAGAGTATGGAGCCTCAACAGGTGACGTCGCCCCTCTCCATGGGTTGCCCCAGGTTCCGTCGCTCCCAACTGAAGTTCCGTTTAGGAAGGTTTTTCATGTATGTTAACATAAGTTTTAAAGCTTGAAGTTTTCCATGGCTCGAGTATCAAAACCTTCAAACAACGATCGCAATGTTGCAATCGCTTAAAAACTTGACTGAAATATCCCTCGTTCAAGTTACTTACTTAGGGCACACTCCATACCTTTAAAACCTTAGAGTAGGCTTCTATCAAAAGTGGAGTATGGTTGCGTTACCCTCAAAAGTTGATCTAATTAAGGCTCAGTTTAAATGCAAGGAGTCGCTAATTGAGGAAGTTGCGCGAGGGATATCTTCGCAAAGGGGGCTACGACTGTACAAAGGAACGACGGAACCTACATCCACCGATTTCTCTCATCAACGAGTTTCAGATTGTAAATTAGAACCTAACCAGGGCTGCCGAACCAGATGAGGAACCGTTCGCCATTCGCTCGGAGTTGTATGGATTCAGCACTGGGCCTGTTACTGACGTAAAACTTCCAGCGTCATAACATAAATTCTCGCATGCAGCCTTGCCGATAATGTGTCCACCGGCGTCCAATATTCGGGTCACTACTGTTGCATCGGTATCCGAGATAAAGCCTTCCAGCACTTGGGAACCGTTCATCAGGGGGAGTCCTGCGATACACGTGTTGTCCTTGATGGCTACTGTTTTACCATGAAGCTTGCCTCTGGGTGCTCCTTTGATGTCACAGCGCCAGAACCTGCAAGGGTTAAGGTAAGATATTGCGGAATTTTTTTACCCATTCTTCGGAAAAGGCGGTTGGCCTATGACTAGTACGTCTTACCTTGCATGCAAAGGTTGGAGTTTGACTTCCTTGTCTTATTTCCTGTTTTCTTTACTCTCACAAGGCTTCTTTCCATCCATAAGAAGAAATATAAATGGGTAACATTGGACTGATGGGGGAAGGGGGGAGGGGAGAGAGAGGGGAGAAGAGGGGAGAGGGGGTGAGGTGGGGCGGTTTTTGCTATGAATCGACGCTATGAATCGACGCCATCCAGTGATTTTCCAAGTTTTTTTATGCCTAATAAATAAGCCGGGCCCTGGATGATATGCAAGGTAGTGATGCAAACAGACAGGATACTAGCTATATACCACTTGCAGCCCTCCTGCAACTGCAACTGGAAGATAACTTGGGGAGAATATAACCACAGAGGATCCAGACCCTTCTGAAATTCAATATTTTTCTACATAAATTTATGACGATGACAGTCTTCAGCCGGAGTATACAGGTTATTGGGTTTGTAACTTCCACTAGTTATAGATGGATAGTAACGGGCATTGTTGGTCAAAATCATAATTAAAACTGAACAAATAAATGAATAAAAACTATAGGTACAAGAAAGGTCCGGAAGAAAATCTGCTATTTTTCACTTACCAAGCATTGTAGGGGTTGTCTTCTGGTGATGGTCTGTAACCTGGTGTTCGAGGATATTTCACTGGGAGTTTGGGGTCTGGTAACTCGTACAACCGTTGGTAGGTATCAGCCAGAATAGTAGAGATGGCTTCTAGAAGATATCAACAACTGCATGAGTCAGAGAGAAACTAGATTTTTTATTATCAAAATTCTTCCCCTCCCAAATCCTCCGTAAAGAGGGGGAGGAAATTACTCAAAATTGCTTTAGGTGGTATTTAAAACTAGTTGAAAAGGATACAAGAAACAGCATAATGGCTCATTTCCCAACTACCTTTCAAAACTCTCTTTCAAAGCGAGTCCTAGTGCTCATCCTTTCATATTATAATAATTTTACATTCCCATGCAAATTTAGCCTGCGAACAAGGCTCCCGGCTTGGAGGGCGAGAAGCAGGGGAAGGGGAAAGCACGTGAAAGAATTTTCTGTTTTGACGTTGGATCAACCGATCTTCCTGTGAGCAAATTTCCGCGTTCACACTATCTCCTAAGCTTAAGTGATACGCTCATTACTTACTCTGGTATGATTGAAGATCAGTTTCAGGAACATCCAATCCCGTGTCTCGGGCTATTTCTCTAAGACGCTCCAAACTCGGTACGCGAATAGCGGGCTCCTTAAACATTGCGCGACCGCTCGGCGACCTGGGAAAAAGAGTAATTACTCTTATGGATTACTGCTTGTTGTAAGTACGGTGGCTCACAAATATCACAGTAAAAGTTTGTGAACAGTTTGTAACTTAGAGGCCCTTAGAGCTATAGAGGCACACAGGCCGGCATTTGACTCTCGTCTGTGTCTGTCGGAAAACTATAGTTCCACGCGCGACGCACGACACGCGAAGGGATCTGGTGACAACTTCTTAGACACGTGCATGATTTAGAAATTATGTAACCAGAACGAAGCGATTATGTAACAAGCTGTCAACAGTGTAATTGTCGAAACCTTGAAATCTTGTAATACGATCGTAGATATCGGGAAATGTTAGAGCGACAGTGTGAAAGAAAAAGAGCGAACAACGATTGTAAGCGAACGTGTGTTAAGATTGTGAGCGAACAGAAGGAAATAAAGAACGTTATACAGTCCTCAGATTGTGAGTGGAAATAATTCGAACAGTGTCCTTGGGGTGGGGAATTTGAACCTTGTCTGGGTGGGGTGGGGAATTTGAACTGGCCGAATGTACGTCTGTTAATGTTTAAATGTGGAGGTGTCGAAAGCCAAAGACTTTGTTTTCGTGAGCATATGGCTTAGAAGATAATCTTATCCGGCATTGCTTGAGAATAATAATGAGGCAAAGGCAAAAGAATCAAGCATTGTGCTGCAATAAAAGTACAAAAAACACTATAAATAAGCAAACAGAAAATAAGAAAAAAATTAAATAAATATTTTTTTGACCCTGTGTTTTAGAAAAACTTTGTCAGAAATATAGCATTTTCAAATGAGAATCAAGCCCGTTTTTAAAACCAATTTAGACATTTTTTATGACGTCGCATAAGTTTGGTTACAAACTAGTACTACCACATTTCAAGACCAGGCCTGGATACAAATTAGAAAAAAAGAAAAAAAGGACCCCAGTACCTACAAGAGTTCTTATGTAAATTATCATAACGCTAACTGAACTTAAAATATTAGCATAATTTGTGGAACATCGAGCTAGCATGATGCAGACAACCCTACCAGTGAGTAAACCCTATCTTCCCTTTTCCCCGTGCGCACAATTTTAATTAAGCTCGTTAACAAAAAAATCAAAACGAAACAAAACAAAACAAAAACAAACAAACCAATCAGATGCAAAAACAACCTCAACCACACAAACAACAGTAGTAGCGGGCATAACGTAAAATAATTTGAGATGCATGCGCAAAATGATTCGTGTGTGACGCCATAGAATCAAAGATGCAATTGAGTTTTATCTCAGGAACTTATTTAATTTTTAGTTGAGGTTCCTATTGCTCAATATTCCCCGATTTCACATTGCTGTTTAGCAGAATACAATTAGGAAATGCAAGAAGTTTTAAAACGTACGCACAGAGCCATTAATTGTTCCGCCAGTTAAATATTATTTTTCACCACGCCGTCCTGCTTTGGATGGATTAGGTACTTTTGATCAACGCGCTTGCCAAGAGGACTTCTTCAAATCCCGTTGTCGGTTGTAAAGCACGAACAAGAAAGAATTCAGTGGCTTGCTGGCACAGAAACCACGAGACGATGTGAAATTGCAAACATTACATCCGACACGCACCATGTCACATTAAAACCCTCATTAACACTATGTCATTTCTTTTGATAGATTGGAAAATATCGAATGCCGGAATTCAGAACCGGAATACTTGGAATACCTGGATACCCGGAATACCCGGAATACCCGGAATACCCGGAACTCCCGGAATGACTGTAGAATTGTAAATTCAAAAACATAATGAATTAATTAATAATTAAACAGAACAAAATTTTACAAATAAATAGTCAATTGATTAAAAAATTAAAAATAAAGTAAAAATAAAAGTAAAAAGGAAAAAGAGGAAAATCAGCTCTCTACAAATAAAACAAACAAAAAAAAAATGCAAAAATTTCTCGATAAAATGCAGGGGACCATGTGACGTAACAAAAAATAACTACCTATGGCACTGTTCACGGGGATGCACGTAGTAGAACTACATATAGCTCACAGTCTACACTATACAAACTGATGCCGAAGATTGCATTGCTTCAAGGTAAACTGAAACCAGAAGCGTGGTTAATCATTGAAGACCTCGAGCGCTATGGGTTCTAGGTGGAAAAGTGGATGTAAATGCGTTAAGTACTTGGCGAGTGAACCCAAAGTGTGATCGCATTATTCCTTCTTTGAAGGAGATTCTATTCTAACTAGTTTGTGCAAGATAAAACGACTCGATTTATCTCGGTATAATTGACAGTCTAGTAACGCAGTTCCGTTCACTGCTCAATATGTTTTAACCTGCAGCCTTGCAACTCATCAGTCTCGGTTCGGTTCTCGCCTCACGGGCATCACCAGCTCGCTCGATTTTTCAGTTCCCTTCCGTTTCTCCCGTTTAATAATTTCTTGTATTGTAGCTTTCCTTATTTCCATCTGTTGTAACCTTGCTACCTTCGGCAGGGCTTTATGATTGTATTTTTTTTATTACGGTGGGCGGGTCTCGCTTTAACATTACCTGTCAATGAATAAACTGTGAGACTGTCACGCCAACACTGCTTGTTGTTTACTGTCTCGGATCGGACGTGTCTATCATTATTTGCAAAGAATCTTTGGACCATTTCGTGTTTATCATCTTCATCAAGAGTATAAATCTCCACGCACCAGTAAATTTTAAGAGCCACGCCTCTTTCAAAAGTATCTCTAGAACTACGAAAACTACTAAAACTGTGTTTTATGAATAAACGTTTATCATTTTTCGGTCATTCCGGGAATTCCGAGTTTTCCGATTCCGAATTCTAGCATTCTTTCTTTTCCAACCTATCATTTCTCTATGACCTCTGTTTCAAACATGAAGGTCAAGTTTCGCATACAGACATTTTATTACAAGACTCGGGCAGTCAGAGGGCCAATAACTAAAATCAATCAATCTAAATGCCCTATTGCCGGTCAATATTCTCTCGATATTGGACCGGGCACTGTCACGAATGGTCCCGAATGATACCGCACTTGTATCCCCTTGAACTTCAGTCGAATAATAAGTCTCTTATTAACCAAGCTTGCTCGGGACCGTACTGGAAGAATATCGGCCCTCGCTCTTTTTTGTACGGACCTCGCTGCGCTCGGTCCGTACTCTCAAGACCTCGGGCCGATATTCTCCCAGTACGGCCATCGGGGCGATCAGATAACGGCTTATTGAGCGACTATCTCGGTCTGTATAATGAGAGTTTAGGCCACTAACTCAGTCTATATATTGTACGATTTTATTTAACTAACGGCTTAAAATCTCCCAATAAACACAACAGACTGGAGGAAATTAAGCCGTTAGTTAACGGCCCAAAATCGTACAATAAACATTACAGACTGAACGAAATTAAGCCGTTAGTTAACGGCCTAAAATCGTACAATAAAAATAACAGACTAAACGAAATTAAGCCGTCAGGTAACGGCTTAAAATCGTACAATAAACATGACAGACTGAACGAAATTAAGCCGTTAGTTAACGGCCTAAAATCGTACAATAAATATAACAGACTGAATGAAATTAAGCCGTTAGTTAACGGCCTAAAATCGTACAATAAAAATAACAGACTGAACGAAATTAAGCCGTCAGTTAACGGCTTGAAATCGTACAATAAACATCACAGACTGAATGAAATTAAGCCGTTAGTTAACGGCCTAAAATCGTACAATAAATATAACAGACTGAATGAAATTAAGCCGTTAGTTAATGGCCTAAAATCGTACAAGCCGTTACTTAACGCCCTAAAATCGTACAATAAATATGACAGATTGAATGAAATGAAGCCGTCTTTGGTTGCGAAACTCGCGGATTTTACAATGTTTCACATATTATGATGAATCCTGGTAAGGGGCCGACCATTTAACTCTTTGGAGGGGGGGGGAGGGAATTTGAAAAACAATTTCCTGCAAGCGCTTGTTGGAAGAAAAAAAAATTGCATGCAGCCCAAATGTAACAGTAAAAATGTAACAAAAAAAATGCCGATAAAAAGATCCTGCCCAGCAGATTGCTAGAAAAAAAAATTGTTGATTACCACAAATCACCCACCCCCTCAAAAGTTACATGATCGGCCCCTAACTGTAGTTTAATCTACACGAAACTAAAAGCCGCTACTCTATGCTTAGTTAGGCGCTGGAATGTACCACCTTATGTCAATCAAGGCGGCATTTCAGGTTCTAGGATGTCGGGGTCATTTTCCAGCATNTTTGGGGGGGGGGGGGGGAATTTGAAAAACAATTTCCTGCAAGCGCTTGTTGGAAGAAAAAAAAATTGCATGCAGCCCAAATGTAACAGAAGAAATGTAACAAAAAAAATACCGATAAAAAGATCCTGCCCAGCAGATTGCTAGAAAAAAAATTTGTTGATTACCACAAGTCACCCACCCCCTCAAAAGTTACACGATCGGCCCCTAACTGTAGTTTAATCTACACGAAACTAAAAGCCGCTACTCTATGCTCAGGTTGGGCGCTGGAATGTACCACCCTCTGGCAATCAAGGCGGCATTCCAGGTTCTAGGATGTCGGGGTCATTTTCCAGCATTCCTGGTTTTAGGACTTGGGGTCGTATTCTAGTAATAACACCGAAAGTTACAGAAGACTCCAGGCTACACGTAGTTTACAATATTCTTTTTTGTCGCCTGCAGATCAAATTTTTGCAATTTGTCCATGAACGTAAAAGTTTAATTTCCTTCATTCTGTTATATGTTTGGGGATATTTTAAGCCGTTAACTAACGGGTTAACACGTGGGAAGTACTAAAAGAAGGAATGACCTAAAACCAACGAAAACCACCTAAAAAACCATCTACAACTACCGACAATCGGCACCTTAATTGATTGTATAAAAGCCAGTGAACTGCACAATAAAAAGCAGTTGTTGCTCCTACTTGTTTGATGAGTGTGTTGTACATGTAAAATGGTAACGTCAATGACCTGAGGTAATTTTTAGGGAAAAAATAAGCTTCATGCATCCTGCGAGATATTCAAGTTCTGTTTATCACATTGTTTCAACTGTCACTGTTTTTTTCGCGGTTTCCTGTTTTGATGCAATTCAATTTTGTTTCTCTGAATAATAGCATCTCATTTCACCCTGTTTCCTTTTTTTGGCTTTGTTATAAGCTCACTAAGCAGCCCAATTTGAAGCAATCATGATGTAAAATGGTGGCTCTGATTTCGATTTGTTAGCAAAGGGTAAGATATTAGCTTAAGGAGGGGGGCTTTGGGATTTTCGGTTTTGCGGTTTTCACTGTTTGTTGGATCGTTTTTTAGGGTTTTGGGCCAAAAAGGTTGGGTTGTTCGGTTTTGATGTTCAGAGCGGTTTGCGGATTTTACGTGTTTTTGCATTCGGTTTTCACGAAAACTCTGATGCGGTTGTCGGTTTTTCCTTTTTGACCCCTTTTAATGGTGAAAATGTAGCGCTTTTGTCAGGTTTGCATGGGTTTTCGTTTTTGCTGCTTTTTCCGTCGGTTTTCCGGTTTTGGAGGTTTTTTCCTCCGGTTTTGAGGTTTCCCAGAGGCCCCAATGCCCCCCTCCTAACCCAACCTCATCAAATTTTCAACTAATGGGGGTCTTACTTGGTGTCTTTTTGACCTGAGAGCCAAAAAAACGCAGACGCTGGCGAATATTGACTCAAGTTTGTGAGATTAATGGAACGAAAAAAAAACCGTTAGACGACTATGAAATGTCATCACTCAATTGAAGAAAATTGCAAAGGGACAACGCGCCAATTCCGCTCCGCTTGCATGTAATATTGCAAAAACGAGTGCGTGTGTTTCATCGGGGTTTCCAAACAAGGGAAAACCCCGATGAAACACGAAGCACACTACGATTTTTTGAAATTGCTTCTCAATCGTCCATCATTAGCCAAGATTTTGGCAGCGTAAGCGGAATTGTTGTTTTTCAGTAATTATTGGCCTTTGTTGTCAAATATTTTAGCAGTGTCACAAGTCCCTGAGGAACGTCACCGGGTATGACATTTTAGCAAGCCCTAGGGTCTGATATTTCATCAAAGTACAGTGGAAAACCCTCTGTCCATTGTTTCATCGGGGATTCTAAACGCACAGATGTGGCCAAATTGGCGTATCGTGATTGGTTTGTAACTTGATGAATTATTAATGATTTGAGAAACTGCTGTCACACATTTCCGTAAATAAATATCCAAGAAAATCGCCCTAATAAAGCTTCAGCGTGCGCTATTTTACACTTGAAATTGATTTCTGAAGTGGGTCAAACGGTGGTCCTAGATGGGTGTTGTCGGTGGTTTTAGGTCATTTCTTCTTTTATTACTTACGTAACGTCGTTCAGTCTGTTATGTTTATAGTACGCTGTTAGGCCGTGAACAAACGGCTTAATTTCGTTCAGTCTGTTTTATTTTACAATTTTAGGCCGTTAACTAACGGCGTAATTGCGTTCAGTCTGTAATGCTGTTTGTACGATTTTAGGCCGTTAAGTAACGGCTTAATTTCGTCCAGTCTGTTATATTTATTGTACGATTTTAGGCCGTTAACTAACGGCTTAATTTCGTCCAGTTAGTTATGTTTATTGTACAATTTTAGGCCGTTAACTAACGGCTTAATTTCATTCAGTCTGTGATGTTTATTGTACGATTTTAGGCCGCTAACTAACGGCTTAATTTCGTTCAGTCTGTTATTTATATTGTACGATTTTAGGCCGTTAACTAACGGCTTAATTTCGTTCAGTCTGTTATGTTTATTGTACGATTTTAGGCCGTTAACTAACGGCTTAATTTCGTTCAGTCTGTTTTATTTTACAATTTTAGGCCGTTAACTANAGTAGTAAGTAGTAAGTAGTAAGTAGTAAGTAGTAGTAGTAGTAAGTAGTAGTAGTAGTAAGTAGTAAGTAGTAAGTAGTAAGTAGTAAGTAGTAAGTAGTAGTAGTAGTAGTAGAAGTAGTAGTAGTAGTAGTAGTAGTAGTAGTAGTAGTAGTAGTAGTAGTAGTAGTAGTAGTAGTAGTAGTAGTAGTTGTATTAATGATTCGGTTCAAAATCTAACGCAGCGTGAGTGAAAGAAAAATATAATCTTATATATATAAGCGTTGCATTGCGTTACTTCAGGCCACCGCTACGTGCAGGTCACAGACCCAAGGCCTGTGACATTGGATGATGGATGAGACAGTCGCTGTCAAGCGCTCGCTTTGCATCGGCGTCATAATCGAGTTTTCCTCATCAAAATGGCTGAAAGCAAGGGACCAGGTATGCGAGTAACTGATTTCATAAGAAATGAAACAAAGACTTTGCCTTAAAATCTAAAATTTAGACTTCGACGATCTTCACACATGTAAATTTAATCAATATCAGACTCGAAAGAAAGTGTTAACATGTTAGATAGTCCATGAGATGCAAACTTGGCTTTAAGACTTTAGAGCCTATACTTGAAATATCAGATAATACGTTCATTGCCATTTTGATTCGAATATAACACTATCAGTGGACTCTTCCACCGGTCAGAGTTTGGTGACGACCTTGATATGGATTGACTCGATCCGTGCTAAAACAGAAATGAATTAAAACGTTAGCTGTTTTTGAATAAGTTTTAAAACTGAAACGCTCTTTATCAGTGGGTTTTAAGAAACGTTCTCTATTCACCGATTCCAAGGAATTTGAAATAAAGCTGCCAAATAACATGGCAAACCCATCTGATGATATGAGGTTCAGGGATATGCATGCAAGCGACGGGTTATCAAATGATTTCCACACGCTCTTTAAACATGCCAAAATACAGCAGCAGACCTGATTATGGTTCGTAGAATAATGTAGTTTCCGTGCCTTAAAATTATAATTAAGATCCATTGCTCGAGGTATTCATTACCTTGAGTTTCAGCTCAAATTTTTCACATTTAACGATTTAATTTACATATTTATAGTGTCTGAGTTGAAGCGTGTCAAGCTTAGTGGTTTGCAATAAGGCGCAAGGAAGACGGAAAATCTAAAGAAACAGAGTCAAAGCCGTTAAAAATGGAGGAATGACTGCATATCTTTCCAAGCAGCAAAAAGAGTGAACTTCTGGGCGGGATCTTCATAAGATCTCTAAGTTTTGCAATTTACTTCGGTCAGAACTTTTCATTTGCGCAAGTGCAGATTTCAGTTCTTATTTGGGGTACAGTTTTGACAACCTCTATGTTGTGTTAAAAAACAAAAGTGGCATGAGGTATTTTTAATTATCCTGCGGTAAGATATATTTTAATTAAGATAATCATCTTGATGAATAAGAGAGTCATTTGGTCTGGAAAAAGTTAGTCAAACTCACGATCATGAAAATATTTCTTAAATTTTGATTTGATACCTTTTTCTTTAAAGTGACATTATGGGAAAACAACTTATAGTTTTCATCTTCCGCATTAATTTATAATCAATTGATTCGTTTGAATAACACCCAGCTTTTCTGGGGGCGGTACTTGTGTACGCCCTTTCTTCTCCGAATTTTCTGTTTATTCTGTTGTTATGTAACAGTCTTCAAAGGCTATTTTCTCTTAAGATACCTTTCCAAGTATGATTCTAATTCTGTCAATAAGTTATTATAATTTTTACATTGCCGATCTTGTTTTTGTTTTTTCAGATATAAAATGAAAATGTAAGAAATTTAAGGTTTAAAATGATTTTGTAGAGCGTAAGTATCTCGAAGGCACATACTTAGTATGTGGGAACTGTTGCACGCAACTTAACGCGATTCGCTAGTGAAGGTGGAAACGATGACGATGCACGAAGACTGATAGCCTAACAAGTGACACCTTTATAAGTTGGTGCACAACATTTTCAATCACAGAGTTGAGTTAGTCCCCATAGCAGAAAGTTGTAATAAGGAAATCAAGCAAGAAATAAAGAAGTATTCACTGAATATTAGAAAAAGCATCTAACAGTTGTTACATTATTGATTGACCATGTCTCATTTCGAAGACTTCAGAGATTTAGGGAGAAGCTGTATCTGGGCGATAATTCACCAGAAAATTCCATCAATAGTTCGACGAGGCTACTTTTCTGAATGTCGCCTATGCTTACGAGAAGATTAAATTAGGGATGCTACGAACTAAGTTCGCTTAACCTAGCTTGCTAATATACTCCTTTCCAGAATAGTAGCACGAAACGTAGCTCTCAGCCCTTTCAAATGCGTTGCATTTACAAAAGCTAAAATATGTACCTTACTGAAATGTTGCTGCATGGTCTGCTTTAAGCACGGGACAGTTCTGGGCTATTTTATACACACGTGTCACTTTATGCTAATCGTAAAATGTAGCAATTTCGGGTTGAAATGATTGCACGACTGAGCGATTTTCTTATCCTGGTAAAACTCAATAGTGTGATTGTCAATGGAGCAATAAGAGCTCCCTTTTAAAGGTAGATCATAGTAGCTTTAAAGATACTGTATCTGAAGTGTAATGGCGTGTAGTAATAACTTATGCGCTCTTAACCTATCGTATGAGCGCTGATGTTAATTAATTGTGTGTCAATTGCCGTGGCATTTTTTTAATTACAGAATAATGTAATAATAGGACAGTGTACACAGAAGCATAAATAAAGGTGCACTGAATAATTACGATTAAAAAAGAACGGATTTAACAGCGAAAAGGCAGTTTCTTTTGTCTTGTTTCTAAGGACGAGGGCACGAAGAACGCAGAAATGGTGAGTACTCCATCAGCTTCAGGATTTCCTCAACTCGTGATAATTGTGACGCTCTTTGCATGGCTTTCACTTGAATTCTTTAATATTTAAAGCAGCTTTGGCTTATCAGTTCGCGCAAAACTGCGGAAATGTGCGCGAGTTCATCCTAACATTCTCGTAGACTGAATGGGCGCTTGCAGGTTACTAAGACAATAATGAAAGTATTTCTTTCCATCAAATCCATGAAGCATCGAAGTTGCTCTATACACTGTATCAAGAATTTACCACCAAAACACTAATTATTACTAATATGCATGCAGGCAGAGGTGTCCACGAATTTATGTCCATCACTTGACTATAACCCTAAAACTGAATTGTAATCCATTTCAAGATGCTTTCAGCCTGATTAGCAGTCAATTTGGAAAAGCGTCTGATTATAGAATGTTCCACCTAAAAAGCCATTAAATTCTGTGTTTCGTCCATTCTTGATTCAATAGTTTGGCTTAATTGCTACGGGGGGGACGTGTCATTATTTTCCGGGAGGTTCGAAGGTTCGGAAAGTTATTGTTCCTATCAAGTTGCTATTATTTTTTAACCATTGAGCTGTGTATTAAATGGTATGTGTGTTACGGAGAGCTGGAGTTGTACTCCTTTTTTTCTTAGAGAAGGAAACTCTTGATGCTGTTGAAGTCTTAAAACTAATATAGCGTGGACGTATCTTAGACAGAATGAACAGGTGAAACGCTCTGAAAAGCATGTCATACATTACTCCCCCTTATTGTTCAGCCTTCCCCTCCACTCCCCCCCTGAAA